TTTTTTTTTTTCTCTCTCTTTTTTTTTTTTTTTTTTTTTTTTTAGCAGTTAATTATTTATATAATGGGCTGAATTTTCAAAGTGTCTGTCCTCTCTACACTCTCTCAAAGTGTCACTGCTCCTGTGTCATGCCAGGGCTCTTGTCCTATACCTCTCAGTACTATCTGTGTGTTTGTTAACCTTGTGCTACCCAGGAGGTACCTAGAATAAGGCTGACACCACAACTGCAAAAACTTGCTCCAGGTTTTGCTACAACTGAAATGCATGGAGGGTGCTGTCAGTCTGCTCCAGAGCATGCAGGTGAGAGTTCTTCTGTACCAAATGCCCAGAGATTGGGCCTGGTCCCCAACAGTCATTGTAGAAACAATCAGACCATGCAGTTACTTGATGTCAGCTCAGGAAAACAGAAGAAAATTGAATTATCTTTGTTATTCTACCTGGCATTTGTTCATGTACAGTATTAATGAACAATACTAAGTCCTTTACAGTGTGATATCGTAAAGAGACTAGAGGAAAGTTGTTAGCAAGAACTATGTTTATGTTTCATCTTCTTTTCATCTTGCTCTTAATCCTCAGCAGAGCTTTCTTACAAAGTACCAAACATAGGGACATATCCTGCTTCTTTATAATGGTAGCAAAGGAGAAAGACTTGAAAAAAAACCCATGTATTGAGCTTGAAATTTTTTTCCATGTGCCAGTTCTGAGAAAGATCTGTAGTTACTAATGTCTTTCTGCTACAGAACTGTTCTAGGAAGAAGCCATTGTCTGTCACCATGGAAAGCAAAGACAAATATAAAACACGACTACTTGGAGTAATGACAAGCTCTCTGTCGGTTACTTTCTGGATTACTTTTATTGAGAACAGTCCATGTCAAAGTTTAGCTTTCAGTTCCATTTTGAGACAGGGCATTTTGTCAGTGGAAGTTGCTTATGGTGGCCTATCAGAGCTTGGTGCAGAATGTCTTTTCTTCATTAGCATTCTTCTCCACACTCTGGTGACGTTTCTTCTTAAATTGGCGTGTTTTGAATTCTTCTGTGATTTCAGAGGTTGACTTCCCTTTTGTTTCTGGGAGGAACAGGTAGATGAGAATCGCTGAAGTAACCAGGACAGCAATAAAGATAAGGAAACAAAAAGGTCCAAGAAGCATCTGGAGATAAAAATAGAATAAGATGAGTGATTTCCCTGGCAACACTTTCCTCTGTAGATTCTTGAAAAGCATTGATTTATCCTTGTGAAATGCAGTACCAGTTGATTTTACAGAAGGAGTATTTATTTATATTTTCAGTATGTTCTTAAGGCAGGAGATGATGTCTGAAGTCCAGGGAAGTGTTTTACATAAATGGCCTTCATATGCCAGTAGCAACAGAAGATTCACAGGTTTGATCATCTACAATACATTTCATCCTACTCCCTGTCCAGACCAGCCTAGGAAACTAATTTAAATTGATGGAGTAAAAGAGAAGATTTGAATGAAATTACATACGACAGCAAAGGGGAAAATCATTCCAGTGAAAGTGAGGCCCAGCCAAATGACGATTCCACCAATTACAAAAGCAGAGGCCCTTGTTGAGAGGGTGAAGATTTCATTCATGACAGATGTGACTGCTCCAGCTGAGGAAAAAACATAAAAAAGCAATAGAAACATTGTTGTAGTTAACCATATTCTTAATGGTGAGTGAACAGTTGTCAGAAGTCAAACACAGCCCCAGTGAATTAGGGTACTCTGAGATCATCTAAATTTGAGCAGCACAGCCATCTCTGTCTGAATTCCCTTACAGACTTATTTTATGGTCCATGGAGAGAGATGGACACTCCTGAGTGTCCCCAATGGCCTATTTATCTCCATTGCCCATAGGAGACACCTGGGTTCTGCTACTGTGAGAATTCGGTTACATTTTCAAGACACTCATGGTCCTCATCTATAGCTCTCACAATAATAAAGGTTGCCACTCCAATCTTCAGACTGTAATAACTGAAAGTCGTGTTTGGCCAGGAAACTTTCAGAGTTAAAGTCGTACTTAGGCAAGTGAGGTCCTAATACAGAGCTGTTGGTTTGGTTCTAGTGTTATTGATGTAGGTGATTCAGGATGACATTAAGAGAGGATGAGAAAGGACAGAGCTGTGCTAAGAGACAGACTATGTGTATTATAAGGTATCATTCTGTAATAGAGTAGGGTTTTACAGGTGAGTTGAGAAAACTGATATTCTAGAAGAGGCTACCTCTGCACTTCAGCAAAGACAGAGGTGGGCCAGATGAGCTTGAAGGCACTGAGCAGCATTCACACCCTCCAAAACAAGTCTTAGTGAATTGATTAACAAGTTGTTGTTTTTTTTTTCTTGAACCTGTAATCCAGTGAGGGGAAACAGGATCCTGATTCATCAAGATCTGAATAATTTCAAGTAATTTGTTAAAGTAATTGTTTCTTGGGTCATTAATTAATAAAAAAATTGGGGGCTTCCGCAGCTTCAGTCCAAACTAAGCTATTGATTTTCAAAGATATATTCACAGTCAGGTTCTCTTTCCATACATTCATGGCCTGTGCTTATCCATGTGGTCCAAGGTGTCCTGTTGTTGCTTTTATTGTTGCACTCACCAGGTCCAATCCCATAGGCAATGATGAATAAAAAGATGAGTACAACACTGCAGTAACGCATCCAGGGGAAACGATCCTAGACAAAGGCAAAAGGAGGGAAGAGAATGAAAAATTGTTTTATAGCTGTATCACAGCTGATACAAACATACAGGAGAAGCAATAAAAAACCCTAATTTAAAAAGGTGAACTACAAAAAAAAAAAAGAAAAAGCCTTGCAAAGAGGCTATGAGCTTGTATTAAGAAGATATTCTGACCTGCTCTTTTGGACATGAAAGCTAAGGTAGGACTATCTGCTGTCCTGCACAAAGAATTCTGATGCAGGTCCACTCCCAGAGAGACGTTTGCTTACGCTCAGTAGCAGGCTTGTTTCCAGCAACACCAGTATCAGAGCCATCAGCAAATAACCACCCCACAAGAGTATCCGACGTCCAAAACGATCAATAATGGAGCTCTGAAGAGTAGAAAAAAAGTGCATCTCACTGGAAGCATGGCAACATCCAGCTGCCAGCTGTCCAACAAATCAAGCATTCTTCTTGAGATCTTTTTACTTTAGAGAACACAAATCTTATTGGTACCAGGTTTGTTACTGTATTGATTTTTTTCCAGCTTCCTATGCTCTGAATTACCATGGCCGCCCAACATTGCAGCTACTTCTTCATAAACACTGCAATAATGTAAGCATGGTATGGCTCGATTTGAAGAGATAGATATTCACAAATATGTGGAAATAAGTATAGATATTTATGCGTTAATGACATTTCATTTATATCTATATGAACAAGAGAGGGATTTTTATAAGAAATTATGGAGAATGAAAGTGAGAAGAAAGATGTAAAAGGTGGGACAAAATTTGGAGCAGATCGTAACAACCATTTTACAAATCTATGCAGCACCACAGAAAAATTCTTCAGTTCATAAGGATAAGATTAATTTTCTTTAAGGAAGAATAGACTCAACTCACATGGACTTTAAGTCTTGAAGCCCCAGAAAGGTCTGACTTACACAGAGGATGATAGAGGTGAGCTCAGAGACCGCAACTCCTAGAGATACATATGGGATTATGCTTTCCTGCAGGTTGGCTGTCTGAAAAATTTCTGAGGTGTAAAAGGTGATCTGGGAAATAAGAAACATTTTCAAAGTTAAGCATAGCCAATAGATGTGCTGTGAGTTTATTCAGCATCACTTGTTCCTTCCAGGAACTTATGCTGAGTTGGATCTCTTGCATTCCCACCTGAGCAGCTCCCTTAAAGGTATGAAGATTACTAGGGATGATACCACTGAGGTTGACCAGCAGTGGGCTCTGTGTGAGGAGGAATAATGTAGATCCAGAGGAAAGTGACAAGCTGGAATTGTGGTGCTTTGATTACCTAATAGTAGATATAAGCATGGAACTGGGGTGTACTCAACTGCACTCAGGCCACAGAGCTGCAGGCTCAGTAAAAGGAGGAGCATGGTACTCAGCTGCGGGTACACAGATGGTTCTTTCAGCACCTCCAGGACATTCAGGATTTTGGTGCCTTTTGTTACAGCCTTTTCCTTCATCAGGTCATCAAATTCAGATTGATAATTCCCTTCTCCCCAGAGTTGCTTCATGGCTACGGAAGAGATAGAATGAAGTATAATCCCCCAGCATCTGATTCAGAGTTCTGTAGTTTTCAACTTTTAATTATATCAAACATTTGCAGTTCTGTTCATGCTTTGATTCATGTCAATGAGAAAAGGACTTGAACATCACTTGTTGGAACAGACTGAAACTTCCCTGGAAAACAGCTTTTAATTTGCTGTAGCATTTAGGAGTAGATCTTACATATTTCTGATTACCCCACTTATTCTGGAGGACTTCAATTATGTAATTATCAAGAAATCTGTAGTTGGCTAAAAGAAAAGCTGATTCCCTCTATTAGCTTCACTTTTGAAAGAGTTATTCTTTAACAAATACCTCAAGTTTTATTTTACCTTTCAAGCAGCCAGCCTTGTCTCCTTTTTGCAGCAAGAGATAGGGAGGGGACTCAGGAAAGAACGGCAAAAAGAGCAGTTGAATCAATGCCACCAACCCAGAGAAGGACAATAGCACATTCCACATGTCTTCAGTCCCTAAAAGATCTCTATGAAAGCACATGAGAGTGTATTTCTAGTCCACTGCAATTACGATCTATAATTAGTTTGGTATTTTCTAGATCCTAGGCAAGCTAAAGAGACACAATATATATTCAGCTGTTGGAAAGATACATTGGAATGGAGATGTTTAGGTTAGGGAAAGAAAAATAAACTAACATTTTATTTCTACTGCAAGACTGAGATTTTTCTTGTAATTTGAGTATTTTCTAAACATCAGTGAAGTCTGAATATTCCCACAATAGCTCTCTGAACTAATACTGCAATTCTGCTGGAGGTCATAAAGAAATTAGCAGAGATTTCAGATCTCAAAAGTTTACTAGGAGTGTTTACATGCAATATTTTCACATTAACTTCAGCACAGAGACTGCACCTCCAGAGGTGGATTAATCCTTTCCCAAGAGAAGGACCTTTCTCTCCCCAGTATAGGATAGGGAAACCTCAGTGACTGGTATGGGGTAGGTGCATCTTTTTTGACAACTGTGGTTAAGCAAAGTAAAACCCTGAGTGTATGTCTGTTTCTAGGACCGGGAGAACAACACATCCCTGCCATGCAGAAGACAAATAAATAGCAAACAGCATGAAAAGGAGTAGCACAAATACCTTAATCCAAGAATCCTTGCCACAGCTTTTCCTAGTGCAAGAAACACAGAGCAGGTCACATTTACAAACCCACGCAACTTCTTAGGTGAGATCTCTCCAGCATACTGAACATGGGCACCCATATGGATTCCTAAAGTGAAGGGGACACAAGAGAGCTAAAGCTGCAGAAAGCAAGAGATTTCATTTTACCGTCAGCTAAAGGTAGCACTTTCCTCCCTCTTCTCAACTGTTGGCTATATATCCTTTCCAATGATAGGCTGAAAATGTACCTTTTACTTTAAGCAAAATGTTTAGCTAATCCATCAGATCTCTCTCTCAAAAAGACCTCTTGAAGGCAAAGGACAGCTCATCTTACCTTTTCCCAATCTGTTCCTTGTTCCACTGGAGTTACTGTGCATGCCCAGGTACTTCCAGCAGGAAGATTTCTGTATTCACCCCAAAGAAGTCACACTAACATGGAGTAGTGGGGAGTCCTACCAGCACCGATGCCCTCGAGGAAGCGCCCAATCAGGATCATCTCAAAAGACTTGGCTCGCCTGCTGAAGCCAGTATGCAGTGTGGCTATTATTAGGACCACGTCGTTGAACAGCAGACTTTTCTTCCTGCAGCAGCAAATGACATGTGGGCACAATCAATTTTTTACTTTTTAATCTTTGACAAACAATTGCCTGTTCTCTGGATTTACAGACCAAGCCATGGCCATGTTTAAAGCCATTGCTTATAAGACAACCATACCAGATCATGAAAAGGCATGATATCTTTGCAGAAAGAGGGAAGCTAGGTTCCTTCTTTCCATTCTAACACTATATGAGCACACCATGAGGCTGAAGAATCCTGCAGGATAAATCCTGATAAGGAACAATCTTTTCACTTCTTTCCTATGGGCAAGGCTCCCCTCTCAAACACTGCATGTGTCCCCAGAACAAGGCAAATCCAGCTTCACTGAGGACTTCCTTCATTGTCCACCTTAAGCTAGAGAGTTCTGGTTTTGTCCTTTGTGGTCACCCTCGAAGAGAAATTTATGAATGTGGCCAGAGGGGACTTCTGCTCATCTTTGCTGAAACTCTGGTTATTATTACAGAACCTGCAGGTTTTTTACAGGCTGTGATTAATTAAAAATAATAATAATAAAAAAAAAAAGCAAAAGAGCAAGTAAAAAAGAGTTCTGCCTACAGAATATCAATCCCCCTGTGCCCCACTGCAGTGTTGTTGGGCTCCCTAGGTCATTATTGCCAATAAAGACATTTCAGAGACTTATTTTTTTCCCTGCAATTTCAGCAAAAATACAAAAAGTATTATGTGTAGAGGAAGTATTTATGGCACAAAAAACTGTGACAAGGGAATCCAAAATAGTTGTATATTCCTATCTCTCTAACGTACCCAGGTGTAGTTAGTTATACATGTTGGGTTAATTATGCACCAGAAGGGGGCAGTGAGAATTCTGACATCCATAGTGTTACATGAGTAGTAGTCAGCTGCTCCCCTTGGTTAGTGAGCTGGTGGGAAATATACTTACTTTCCATATTTTGCAGCCAGGTACCCACTACACAGACACCCTATCATTCCACCCACACAGTACATAGACACAATGAAGGACCACAACAATGTGAGTGTCTCCTGATGCAGCACAGAACCGTATCTCTCCAGCCAAGTTTCATTGATAAACTTCTGAATGTACTGGGACAGAAAAAGAGATTTTAATTTCACTGATGCACTAATCACAATAGTTCTTAATAATGTTTACAACTTGAAAAAAAATTAGATTGATAGTAATTACTAAAATCATGACTATGGGACACTTGTTGGCAAGTTTTAACTGATATTTCCTCTCAAACAGCCTCATAGTGGAAGATAATCTTTCAAAAATTAATTGTACTCTTTAGTCTGTTGGATCCTGTTTCTCCTACACCAAAATATTGGGACTTTAAAAAAATCTAGTGAAGTGCAAATGTTCTTGTTGCAGGTAGCAGATATAAGAGAAAGGGCTGAACTAAAGGTTGAAACTCAATCAGCTTTTTTTTTTAAAAATCTTTTTTCTCTAGGGCATGGTCTTTAAGGAGGGTGTTTCAGTGTTTTCAGTATGTTGTTTCCACACTGTTCTGTGGGAAGTTGTCCTTGGAGCACAGCTCTTAGCAATCATGCAAACTCATTTTGTCCTTTGACAGTGGACAGTATGGCATTGGAAAGCGCTGGGAATAAACTCACATGGCAATACCTAACAGGCTTTTGAGAGCACCTTCAAGGTTTAAGGCCTAGTCTCATGAAGAGCAGTTACAAATGTGGCTTTATGAAGGATTTTCTTACCGGAGAAGTATAATTGATCACAGACATTTGAAAACCAGATAGGTGGGTTCCACCAATTCCCAGCACCATAATCATCAGCAATACTTTCCGGTATTGAACCTGCCAAGGATGATGAAACACATCTGAAGTTCCTGATACCAGAGACAATTTATGAGCTTTTATATTTCCATATTTAAGAAGCTTTTAAAATACAAAATCCATTTTGAATTTGTCAATAATCAAGCAAAATCGCTGGGAAATTGTTAAGATGCAAAACTGCACATTCCTTTATATTCCTCTCCTGGTTATTAGCAGCCTGACATGATGCAGCCTCAAATTCTACTAGCTCTTAAGTCCTCTTAAAGCTCTTTTCTTTCTTTCTTTCACTTTTATTATCCCCATAGGAAACTGCATTTTTAGAGTCTCTACTTGAATGACTCCTGTTTGGGTCCCTTCCAATTCAGCATGTTCTGTGATTCTACGATTCTACAAAATGCTGTGTTTCCATGATGGACACTGGACTTCAGAGCACTCTTCACAAGCACATATGTTTTCAGGCATTTAGTCAGGTCAGATGAGTATCCTTGAGAGTGCAGGGCAGTAAAGCAGGAGGGTTTTTTCTGTTTTGACTTTTTCATTGCTGCTATTTTCTATCTTTCTCAAAATGCCTATTCTCTCCTGGTTTTCCAGGTCCTCTTTTAAACCTCCCAATCTTTTGTACTTCTAAGATATTGTCTGGAGATGCTATGTAGTCGGTCTTACTGCTGAAGCAGTGTTATCCCAAGCATGTGCTCTGTTGCTTAGTTTGTTACATGAAAGATTGATTCCTTTTGCTGTAATCTTTAAAGATCATGCTGCTGTTAGCAACTAGGGCTAGAAGACAAGAAGTTGGATACTCACCAGGTCTGAGAGGAAACCAGCCATTTCCCCTTAACAACCTGCCTGCTCTGAGATCCCTTGTCAAGTCTGTCAGATGAGAGATGTTTTTTACATTTAGATTACAAGAATTTGAGATCATAGCACAGAAGTTAAATTCTAACTATGTGGCTTTTGGTAAATCGTGTCCTCCTCTAACACTGGCCAGGGCCTCTTCTTGCTGGTTTAATTATTCTAAGACCCAGATATGGGAAGTTGATTACAACATTGGTAAATGTTTACCCTTCTTGTAGTGGGAGTGCTCCCCACTATTCGCACTGCTAGAACAGCTGTATGTTCCTGTTGTGTGAGGAGGCAGACAGTGCTACCAGCTTCCCTCCAGGGCAGCAGGGTCCCTCCTCACCTCTCTGACCAGCAGCTTAGGCAGAGAGTGTTTTCCTCCTCTCCCCTCTACTGCAGATATAAGACACCTAGTGTTGTAGCTAAGCTGCAATGCCTCTTCTAGCATGTTATATTCTATTGTTTGGAGTGATTTGAACAATTTCCCAGTTGCAGGACACAAAGTATCTGAATATTGGCACACTGGGTCCTTGCTAACACCCAGTTCTTTATAGAGGGTCAGGCTGTTGCCAGAACCGCTCAGAAGCCTCACTCTTACCTCCCTGTAACAGTGGAGTTGTACTACTGTGTGCTGGAGTGAGATGCTCATTCTGCTCTGCCTTGAGAATTGATTTTAAGAAGTACTTTTCACCTGGAAATCAGCTAAAGACTATTTACAAAGAGTGTAAGTTAGTTCTTGTTTCTTTCAGGCTTCTACCTATTACATGTAACATTCTGTACTACACTGAACACAACAAAAACCACTCTGTACTGCAAAGATTTAATTGCCTATGGTGAGTGCTGAAAGGGGAGGTGGGAAAGTGGAGTTATGGTTCTGAAAGCACCAGAAGCTTTGCTCAGGAGCAGGGTGGCAGCACTGACATACCTCCTACCGTTTGCTTTTCATGTTACAGGGACTGCCAGCAGCTCCATGCTCTCCTGGGCCCTGTGCCCTGCAGCACAGGGTGAGCTTGCTGAGTCACACCTTGACCTTTCTCCTACTGGATGTCTCTCCAAACCCACTGCCTGGGTGTCTCATTGCACTTGTGTGATCCTGGAAATCAAATATGTGCACAGCAGATTCACCAGTACATTTTAACCTTTATTCCCTATCCATGCTAGTTTATGGCAGCATTAATGATTTACCATGCTTTCCCTCTAGCAGACAGTATTTACTAGGAGGAGGGAAGAAGGGAAGAAGTCAGGCATGCTGGACAAGATCATGCTGTAGAAAGACATGTAAAGAAACGAGCTTTTAGTGTCTTGTAAGATACTAAAAACTTCCTCACTGGGAACCAGTAAGGTTAAGAAAGACCAGACCAGATAAAGACTTTTAAACTAATCAATGTCTTACCTAATCATTTCTTTTCAAAATACTTTAAATGTTGGGTTTTTTTCTTTTTTTCTTTCTGTATTCTTGACCAGGAGAAGGAATGTAAGTTGCTTCCTACTGTGGTATTGTGCAATCCAACACCTCTGGCCTTGAAATTCCAAACTTTGTCTAGCTTTTTTTTGGTAATATGATTGCCACAGGAAGGATGGCTGTGTTGGGGAAGTCCACTGCTCTTGGTATTAGCCCTTGGCTCTGCCACAAATATTGTTAGAGGACAGTGTGAAGATAAACCAGCAGGAGCCTTAGAGCTGTGAAAGAAACTGAAACTTATTATTCAGGTCCTTTTGCAAATTCTACTGTGCAGCACCTGCAACAGTCAGTAGTGAAAATCTCATTTCCAGAACAAGACACAGTATTCCTTGACCCCAACAACACACTTCCAGAAGATACTCTTGGGAACTCAATCCCGTTGAACCCCAGTGTTCCTTTTCTCTGACAGAGAACTCCAAGCTCAAGACATGCGGCATAATCAGACCTAATGAAGAAGAAGCTGCAGCTCTGGTTTCATCACTCATGCTTTCCTTCAGTGCTGCAGGTCACAGGTGTGGTCATAAGCTACTCAAGAAAGTCCGATTGCCCTTTACACAATTAGACTTGCTCTCAAGTCTGATTGTAAGAGGGGGAAACATTGCATATCAATTCTGTCTACTGATAAGCAAGGTACTCTTCTTCCACTGGACTAAAGAGCTAAACACTTAATTTATCTGCACTGAAGCTCCTTCTCTGGGAAGGCTCAGCAACACTGAACTTGTTAATAGAAGCCGATAATTTTAACATTAAAGCTGTCTTTTTTTAATCTTAGTTTCACAAGCATGTTGTACATCTGAACCTTTCACACTCCCTTTCTCCAATAACTGTAGACTCCTGGTTTTGGTAAGAAGAATAGTAGATCCTGTGTTTCCAATGTATGCAGATGCTAATCTGCAGGTCTTATTTCTGTATTTTTTTTCCTGCAGAGGATTTAATTCAGCTCATATTTCAGCAGTTGTAGAGAACCACAAAATCCATCCTGCACCCTACACTGCAGGTGATTATTTTTAAAATACACATTTCTGCTGTTTGTGGAGCAATGGATTCTCTCTTGCTTAGTGAGGCTTCTGGGCACTGCAGTCATAAAAGAGCAAAATACTGAGTGGAGATTTTGTCATTAAAGTCTAGTAACAGTCATTACTGAGTAACTCTGCTGTAGGGCTGTCTGCCCCTTCTTTCCACGATAGTTGAGGCGGTTGAACTCCTCCATGACCTGCAGCATGGTCTTTCCTTTGGTCTCTGGCACCACCAAGAAGACAAAGATAGCCATGGACAGGCAGTATGTCAGGAAAATGATGAAACAGAAACTACCAAGACCTTCCTAAAGGAAAGAAAGAGACAAAATGTGTTCATATAAATTCATCTTGATTTCTTTTTCTTATGGTTCTTCCTTATGGTTTTGTGTTTACTAAAAAACTTGGCCAGGGACTCAGTTGATGTAAACCTTCCTTGCTGCCACCTGGGGAATGGCACCAAGTGGTCAGATGAGCTAATTCTTCTTTCCTGTTTTAAGGCAAAAAAGTAGTTTGCTCAGCAGACATTGAATGTCATTGCTTGGCAATTCAGAGAAGAGCTGAGCTCTTCTGTTCCACTCCATCCCTCTCAGTCAGTGCCAGACCGGGGAAGGTACATAGTGTGTTAGCTCTGTCCTCCTTGCTCAGTCCAAAACTGCAAAGGCTTTAGTTTCCTCCTACTTCCTAGTGCTGGGAGAGATCTCCAGGACTGCCCATTTTCCACATTAACCCCCAAGGGCATGCACATCAAGGACAGGAGGGGGAAAGAAGGGAGCCCTTCATGACATTCAAATGACATCTAAAAGTGCCTCTGTCACCACTTGTGTGTCTGCCAGTGTCACACTTACTGTGTGTGCAGTTAGCAGCATTTTGTGGGTTTGCTATGCTTTGACTTGGTACCTGGGTAAAAAGAAAGGAGCTGTCAGAACTGCCATTGGTTTGGGGTCTGTCCTTTGTGTGAAGTGTTGAAAAAGAGAAGTATGCTCTGGGTTGAAGAAGGGTCTAACCTCTGAACTGAAACAAAACACCCTGCTTTGCTTACCACAATGAAGGGGAACAGAAGTCCAAGGAGGAAGAGTTGGATCCAGTTTGTAATTCCATTAAAAACATAAGCAGCTGGTCTGTATGACTGAATAAATATTTCTGTGGGCAAGGGGCATAATACTGCAGCTGAAAAAATGTTGGAGAAAACAGGAAGTTTAGCAGTTTTGCAAGATGCTTCTCTAACTCACTCTTCCTATTGCCACATAGTTAATGGTTTTAACTGACCTGGAAGTGTCAAGAGGAAGGCATGAAGGGATGCCATATAAAATGACGTTCTACCTCTGACCAGAGTATGGAGGGGAACATCTACCCCTGTGCTGAACTGGGAGAAGGGATTCATGCTAGCTGTGGAACAGCTGTGCCTGGAACCTCTCCTAAAGGCTGCAGTGAGGAAGGAATGAGTCTATGAAACCATTCCAGTAGAAAATACCAACCTGGCCCAGCACCAAAGCTCATGATGAAAATAAAGATGAGTGCAACAGAGCAGTATGGTACCCAGGAAAAGGAATCCTATGTAAGGAAATGAAAAGCAAATAAAATCAGCAACTAAAATTTTATTTAACCAGCTCCATTAGAAACATTCATCACTGCTATGTATGCATGTTTAAACACACATCTGTTTCCTTTGCTTCCAGAAACTTCACAAGGAGATAGTCTTGGCAGTCATCATGGTTGTATAAAGCTATTGGCTTTAATCTGCATGTATATGGCTGGGAACAGGCCTCTGTTAGTAGGATGGTTAGCCCCAAAAATACTTCTGCTCCCACTAGTAAGTGATTTGGGGGATGGGAAATAGTAATGGCATCTGCCATACAATAAAACATGAAGGAGGGGCACAGCTCTAATGCAGAAGTGGGGTCTTACCTGTAGTGAAAGCGTGACTGTGAGGAGCCCCAAAGCCAAGGCCATAACAGTGTAGCTTTTCCACAGCAGTGTCTTCCTCCCTGCACGCTCAATTAGAAAACCCTGCAACCAGGAGGACACTCTGTCAGCTCCAAAGGACTGAACTTAAAGGCAGGCGCTGGTGAGTGGCTCTGGTAGCTGCCTTCACTGGCCAGGCTCTTTGAAGAGCTGGGGACTGGGATGTGGGACCTCGTCTGGTGAGTAAAAGCATCTGGGGAGGCTGAGCAGGACCAGGAGCTGCAGGAAGCAGGGAAGGCAAGGAGGTGCAGGGCTGCAGGCAGCACTGCCTGGGCATCAGAGGCCTCAGGATGCATTCTGCAGGCAAAGGAGAGTCAGGAAGGGCAGCAAAGTGGAAACTCTTGCACAGTTAATTGCCATGAAACCTACAGCCATGAGTCCTGCTGACAAGAGGACACAGGACCTGTCACCTGCCCTTCCTACAGAGGAAAACTGGAACTCCCAAGGCTGGCTCAGGCTGGGCTGTGATTTTGAGAGAATGACTCTTCTATCCTCCCATAAATTGAATATAAATGCTCATGCTTGTATGGTGTGTGGAGATAATTTTGTGTGATCAGTGCAAATATTTGTTGCAGAAGTTTGATTCCTGAAGCTCCATCAGAGTGGTTCTAAAGATTGAAAGGAACAATGCATTGCAGCAGGATGAAATTCAGCTGAAGAGTCACTTACACACAGAACTGTGGAGAGGATCTCGGTGATCCCAAGTCCTAGGGAGACGTAGTGGGTTTGAGCAGGGGGAATTCCAGCCTTTATAAAGACATTGTATGCATAAAAGTAAACCTGGAAAGAGTAGAAATATGTCAAGGGTCTACCCATGTGGTCATGTTTACATTGGCTTCTGTCCTGTTTGACAGAAAATAACTGATCAGACTGTAGCAAAAGAGAAAATAATCTTCTGGATTTCAGTAACTAACCCTCAGTGATTTCTCAAGGCTTATTTGTGCAGAACAGCTTTTACTAACTGCTCTGTCTTGAAGTCAGTATCAAATATAGCCTTTCCTTCTCTTTTTCCTTGCTTTTATCACTGCCTTTGTCTTATGTTACAGGTTATAATTCTGACATCTTTCACATATTTTAGTGTCTCATGTACTCATGTCCCCTCCTTATAGCCACTGTTTCAGTCAGCATTTTACTACCTATTGCAGAACTTACGAGAAAGTGTAGGCATTCCAGAAGCAGAGGGAAGCAGGACACCTACCACATTGGCACCAATTAACTGTGTGCATGAGGAGACAAGGAAGAGAGTGATGAGCTGCCAACGAACAGCTTTGTCACGGAAGAGATCACAAACGCTCTTGGACTTCTCCCCATGGATGGCTTCCTGCTCTGCCATCATGTCATCTATTTCAGCCATATGGTCACCATCTCCCCAGAGCTGTTTCACAGCTGGAAGAAGAGGAAGAGAGAAGGTGACTCCTGGTCCCAGCTCAGCAGCACAGGCATTCATTCATTCATTCATTCATTCATTCATTCATTCATTCATTCATTCATTCATATTACTTCCTGCCTTGCAAAGTGTCTTATTTGAGCTTTGGGCTCTTTGCTTGTGTGAATTTCCTTGAGATCTGGCATCAGATTAGACAAAGATCCAGTTCTGTTTTTACCCATAAATCTTAGTCATGACCTCACCTTTGGCCAGTAGCTGTCTACAGTGTTTCAACATAAATCACACCTAAATTTTCCCCAATTCTTCCCCAAATACCCTCCTGCTAAAGGTGCAGTTCTAGTGCATGCACCAAAACACACACAAGGAGAAATAACCCCTACATTAAAAAAATAAGTCTACATCCAAAGATTTCTCTCTTCTACAGTTAAAAACCCACAATGGCTGTTCCTCTGCTTATGTCAGGAGTTTCTGCCAGGTTTCCTGAAGAACTGGAATGCTTATGGATTTGAGATGTCAGTGAAGAGCGCCCCTCCTTTAGAGAAGGTATTCACACCCTGACTGTTCAGGGCACCGTCTATTGATGGAAATACAAGCTCTGTGTGATCACATCCCTCAGAAAATTCTGGCAGGGGGTAAGGGAATACTAGAGCACTGATGTCAAAACAGACAAGACTTTCATTAAAGCTGAAGGTGGTTTCAGAGCTAGAAGTCCAAGAGTCTTTTTCCCAACTGTACCTCCCTTCCAGGCTCCTGTGGAGCTTTACTGTATTTTCCACTTTTTGCTAAAATGAATGCTTTGTGGCCCATTTCCTTACCCTTGATGCACCCCTCCTTGTCCTTTCTGTCAATGAGAAGGTAGCGGGGAGAGTCTGGGAAGAAGGGGAGGGTGAGAAGCTGAAGGAGGGCAGGGAGCGCATTGGCTGCCATGAGAACAGGCCAGAGAGCATCTACTCCAAGAACTTCTCTGAAATAAAACCAGCAGAGCAAGAGGAGCTGAGCAGCTGTGTGCAGGCCAGGTGAGCACATGCAGACACAGGTTGGTCCCTCAGCCCTGCTGCATGTGCGTGGCAGAATAAATTAAACAGGTCTCAGACCCCCTTACCTGAGACCCAGAGCAAATCCTACGAACTTCCCAACAGCAACGGCAGTAGAAGCTGTTACGGCAATGAGCCCGCGGAGCTTCCGTGGGGCACATTCCCCAGCATACATGAGATTGATATTCAGAGCTAAACCTGCAGTAACAAAGGACTGTTCAAAGGGCAATTCAGATTCCCATAGGCCTGATGGTTTGGAGGGGACCATTACGGGCAAAGCATAAAGGGTTAGGGGCTGAGATACTTTTTTAACTGCACTGAGTATGTGTCTGCCTAACATGAAGCATGTTCCCAGCAAAGGATTGCTGTTGCTCCCTTTAATCTCAGGTTATATATTCAGCATCTACTCAGGCTGCTTATGTGCCTCATCTTGTGCTTGAAACCAAGTGAACAAATGGTATATATTCCATTTGCTAAGTGAATTCATTAATATACATCCCCTTTCTTAATTTTTCTTTGCTGTTGTTTTTGGTTATATTATTTTTATCAAAATGCAGAGGGATCAGAAAGACTGACGGAATGCCTTCTGAGGCATATGGAAATTAGGAATGCCCAGCTTGAAAACCATTCCCTTCTCTGTAATATGGAAGGCAGTATCAGCCAGAAGAAGCAGCAATAGAACCCACAGCAGTCAGCTTTCCATGGAGTGAGCATGCTCCCCAGAAACATTGCATGTTTTAGCCTTTTCACAAATTGGCAGTACTTTTTATATGGATTGGATGTAAATATAAAAGAATGAGAAATTGAGATGTCACACATGATTAATTTAATTGCATTTGTGTTTTCTTATTTAGTAGAAAATGAGTTCCACAATCAGGCCCTCTGCAGAGTTTAGTGTAATCCATGATCAGTATATTTGGTCTGGTAAATCCTTGTGACTTCCAGTCATGGCTCTCCCAGGTATTTAATACCACAGGCTGCTAATTTACCTCCACACACTCCAGAGAACACTCTTCCAGCAATGATCATCTCAAAGGATCCACACAGCCGGCTGAGTCCCATCAGAGCTGCGCTCAGCAGAGCAGGGATATTGGCAAGCAGCATGGCCTTCTTCCTGAAATTCATTTAAATTACTGTGAGCATAAATGTTGTCCATGTGTCATTCATAGCCTGGCAAAAGTGGCATGAATTGTACCATAGTTAAAGACTCTGTGCTGGCTTCTGAGAGCAGCTGCAGTGAAGTGAGTAAGAAATGGGAATGGGAAAACTTTGTCATGGACTGGTAAACTTGTTGAAGCTTTCGATGCCTCTAGTGGAGCCACTACCTAGAATGACAAACAAGCTTTGTGCATGGACTCCTGTGATTTCTCTGGACTGGATTCACTTTGGAATTTATAAGGGACAGGGTATGATTTTCTTTGTGATGACTGGCAGATTTTGCCATTCTGTTTTTCCACTGAACTGATCCTTCATCTGAATCAGCTCTGGGCTGCTCACAGTGCCGCTTAACAAGTGATGTTTCTCCCAAGACACAGTCATCTGTTTTTGTAGTTTGTGGGTGTAAACAGAAAGACGAATGTAATCATCATTCCTACCTTCCAAATCTAACAGACAAATACCCAGCAGACAAGGACCCCAGAAGCCCACCGATGCTGTAAATGGACACAATGAAGGACCACATCAAAGTAATCATGTCTTCACTGGGAGAAGAGCCATATCTCTTCAGCCAGGTCTCACGGATGAAACTTTTGATGTACTTTAAAAGAAAAACAGAAATCAATGGACTCGGGCAACATGTCTGTGCATAATTGCACCTCTTTTTTACTTCTCTTACCTACTTACTGGTCTTTTTTATACACTTCTGTCACCACCTTGGTTTAAATCTTAGCCCCAGTGAAATCAAAGGGAATTTTGAGACTAACATTCCTGGAGTTACTGTTTTAGCAACAAGGTGCAATGAAAAAATAAATTAATTAATATATCAATATTAAACATTGACTGAGAATGCCATTAAGAGAGTGTTTATGTGCAAAACACTGATTGTTTTGCTACCTGATCTTCCTTACCATTCCCACTTATCCACCTGCTGTATCCTGTCTGATGCCTTGGGTGAAATCCAGGTTTGACTTCAAGTAACTTCAATGAGATCAGGATTTGTCCCTGGCCCATTGTGGGGTCTCTCTGACCTGCTGTTCATAACCTCTGTGGCACCTTCATTCTTGATGAGGGTTCCCAATGTGGTATTAGTATGATCTAAATGTCCTTGGCACCATTCAGGATGACAAACACCCCCCCCTAATTTTCCTTTTCCAGCTGCAGGTATCAGTGCTGACCTTAGCTCTAGAGCTACTGTCCTTCCCTGTCTTATTTCACCTTGCAGGCACACCTAGACCTAGTATATGTGGCCAAGCAGATGGTACAAAAGACTTCCTGAGCACTGGAAAGAGAAAAGTGTCCTGTGAGCAATCCAACTCAGTAAGGGGAAATGGCTGACTTTACAGGTATCACTCATCCTCCTCCTGCCCAGTTCTGTCACACCAGACAGAGGTTAATAACCCATTAAACACAAGAGCAATAGCAGCTACTCTTAGAACCAAGAAGCCACAGTAAGTGTAGTTTGGAGAGCAGAAGTGAAAAAGTTAGTGAATGCATATAGAGGCAGGAAGGCAATGGAACATTGAAGTCCATGCTGGTAGCTCAGTTTTTTTGAGATGTCCCTCCTTACCTCAGCAGGAGAATTGATAATGGAAACCTGCAACCCATACTGGAAAGCTCCACCAATGCCCAGGACGAAAGCCAAGAGGAAGAGATTGTAGCTCATTTTCTGGAAGGAAATAAAAACAGCAAACAAAGCTGGTACAGCTATTTAGACATGGTCCCAGCTGCCCATTTTCCCTCCAGGAACTCAAAACATCTTAAGCAGTGCCAGGCACCTGCCTCCTCCCAGACCAAGCAGACAGTGCAGAGTGCAAGAGAAGACCATAGCTACAAAAGCACAGGACAGTGAGAAATTTGAGGAGAGACAAAGCTCGTAGCTGTCTCTCAGAATCCAGTTACACACTTCAGTGCTTCTGTCTTCAGCTTTGGCCACCTTAACCTGCTCTATCACAGGGTAACTAGCTGCAGGAGCATGGTGCAATATGCAAGCATTATGTGCACAGTTTCATAGAATCATAAAATCATAGAATCTTAGGGGTTGGAAGGGACCTCGAAAGATCATCTAGTCCAATCCCCCCTGCCAGAGCAGGGTCACCTAGAGTACATCACACAGGAATGCATCCAGGTGGGTTTTGAATGTCTCCGGTGAAGGAGACTCCACAACCTCCCTGGGCAGCCTGTCCCAGTGCTCTGTCACTCTCACAGTAAAAAAAAAAATTTTCAGATATTCACCTTGAACCTCCTATGCTCCAATTTACACCCATCTATTCCATCTATTTGTCCTTCTTCCTCCTCTTCCTTTCCACTTGTTATCCCACCTAAATGAATATTTTGCTCAGTGACTTAGCTGAGACTAGATAAACATTTGGAGATTGAAGGGAATTCCTGGTTTTACAATTTATTCATCCTTTATTAGAACTATATCTGACAGGAGCCTTAGGAATAACTCCGCCATATATCACAGCAATACATGTATACCCCATCCCTCCCACTCCCCCTACTCTCTGTCACTGTCTTGGTGACATTGTGTCCAGCAGTGATGGCATGAGGCTGCACTTCCATCTCCAGAACAGATCATATTCAAAGGCAATGCTGAACAATGATTACAAACATTTACAAGCTGATCTCTAGTCAGAGGAATGCATTGCTTGAATAGGCATCAAATTTATCCATGTTGCAACATTGTTGGCTTCAAAGGAGTCAGCTCTGAATAAATTTGGTATTTGGCACATTCATATATTACTTGACAACAATTGCCTGTTTGTCAAAGCACTGGGAAGACGTGACATTTACAGCTTCTGCTACTAGACATCCCTACTATCCTTTGTGCTACAAAAACATGCCACACATCA